ACAGGGTAAAACACAAGAGGGCAGAGAGGAAGGACTGAGGAAGGAAAATATCAGTAGCCTGGTAAGCTTTTCCTCTTTCAAAACATCTCCATTTCGGCTCTGAAGGTGAAATGTCCTGGAAGGTTTGAGCTAAAAGAGTGGTAGGTTTTTATGTAGACACAGATTAATGAGGCCATGCATTTTTAAAAAATAAACTAACTTGAAAGTGCAAAATACTTAAACTCTTGTTATTGACTTATCTTTCTTTGATTTTTTATTTCAAAAGAGAGGAATAACCACAACAGTAAACCTGTAAATACTGTTTAATCAAATGAGCAAAGTCTAATAGCTATTTATCAATTAAGAAATCAAGAGGTAGAAAATACCAAAAGTTGCATGACCTTAATTCATTTTTTTAGACATGGCTATTGGTGATTTGGTGAAAATAGATGATGCTGTCCCTACCCCATGTTTGCTGAGCTGCCTGCACAGCTCAAGCAGAAGCCACATGGAACAGCTCTTCCCCTCCCACTGCACTGCCTGGAGCAATATCCCAGCTTTGTCCTTGGGACAGGATAACATTTTGTGTCCTGACATGCCAGTCTCCTACTGAGGCAACATTATATAGGATTTTATGGATTTTAATATGTATAAAATTTGGAGCAGATTCTGTACTATAGGACTTTACCTATTCTTTGTAACTGTGTGATCGTTTGTAGGGATTTGTCAAACATTGATGCTCACAGGTACAATCCTTACTAAAAATGCTCTTCAGTGTGGAGACATCAACTTTTGCTTGATGCAGTTTTCTTTATGCAATATGTGTTCCTACTGATTAAAAACACTTATCTCCTCTCAATTTTATATCCATAAAATAAAGAGCAGTAATTGAGTGTATATTGCCTGTATTCCCTGAGTGCATTTCACCCATGTGATGGGAATAGTGTTTCAATGGCCAGTTCTAGAGCTAAGAAGACAAGTGCCATGATCAGGGTGCCCATGTGCCCTTTCATCCACTGTTCTGCATATTTTCTGGTATGTCATAGCATGCATTATTTAATTAAATGAGAAAACACATTTGTCCTCAGGAAAAGTGTACATTTGCAAGTAAAATGCAAAATATTTTTACGCAGAATCCAATTAATTTCTAAAGACAATTTGTCTGCATATTTGGGTTTGGGGTTTTTTGAAAGTTGGCCTAGTTAATTATGGTAATCCAGCAGTATTACTCTGCCTTCGCTTTCATATTAAAAGCATACTTCTGCTTAAAGAAACTTCCTTCTATTTTTCTCCCTGGGAATGTATGTGGTTTGCACTGGATCATAGCTGCATATTTGTGAGTCTTGGTTAATTTTTCTTGTCAGTAGGCTTGAGAGAAAAAAAGGGATTTAAATGATTTAGCATTATCTAGGCAAGAATTAAGTAACCATGTTCATATTATTCTTATGAGAACTTCATTAACCCCAGTGAGAATACTCCTCTGAATGGAATGAATAAGATTAAGCTTTCTGATTGCTAACTAATTTGTGTGATGTCAAAATGGATGTCCATGTAGTCTGCATATTAAAAATTGAGCTAAGGATAGAATTTTGATTCAGAGGATCATTCTTCTAATTTAAGTGACTGATAACCCATAAAATGCAAGTGTTGTTTCTGATAATGCAATCCAGCAGCTCATCTAATTCAAAAATAAATTTGTCGGTTAATGTGTGAATTTTAGCACTTTTTCCCAAGGAAGGTTCTTTGATTACATTTGTACATGCAGGGTTGCAACCTCAAGGAGTGCAGTGACAGGAGTTTCTCCATTAACCAGAGAGAGACGTGGTTTGCAGTTGAACCACCTGGAGCAGTAAGACCTAGGACATGGTTACAGAAGAATTCACTAAACCCCAAAAATTCAAAACTAAACTGAGACTTTGTCCTGTATTCATCAGATGTCACAAGTTCTTGCAACAGGTCTTACATAACCTGCAGCAGATGCTGTAATACATAAACAAATTGTATTGAGCTAAGAGAAAAAAGATTCAGTGTCTTAACTGTGAATGTCTTTGGTTTCATGAATTTGGGTTTACTCCTAGAAAGAGCTACTTTTTCAACAGTGGCTGGTAAGAAAGATTTACAGAGGCTCAGAATTAACAGATGCATTTTCTGCCACATTTAGATTTTTACCTCTTGGGCAGAAAAAACTGAACATTCAGATTGTTGCAACTGTTAAAATTAGAACTCAACTACATATTTGCAGAAGAATTACATCAAAAATAGAACTTAAGTTTTATTAAGCCAAACCAAGCACAAAGCATTTTCTTCTAGAGGACAGTCTGTGTAAATCTCTGGTTTGTGCGGAAGCTATTTTAATTAGCTTTTATAATTTTCTTCCTTTTCTCCTAGTCCACAGGTCAGTGTATATCCAGTGAGCCAAATTACATTTAAGATAAAAGATAAAGTTCCACTAAATATCTCTTTCATCAAACCCAAGGAGACAGTGAAGACATAAACATTTCACACAGGCTGTATCTGCAGAAGGAACTGTAAATGCCAGTGCACATTCCCCATGGCTAGTGTTTCTGCTCCTGTTAAAGCTGTCCTGTTATAAAGTAGAAATAACTTCTCAGCTTTGCTTCTCAGTGCTCATCAGGCTCTCCGGGAGGATTGCGGCATCACTGCGTGATGAGCTCAGTGCTCTCAGCACAGCTGGTGGCATGGGGTGGCAGGGGACAGCCAGTGGAAGAGGCAGGCAGTACTGGACAGCTGACAATCTAGACGTCAGCAGGTCACCATGAACTTTACTTGTCCCTAAGAACCAACAGTACTGTAGCTGATTATTTCTCAGAGTTGGAATTTGGGATTTTGTGGTCCACATCCTGAAAGAGCTCCAGGGGCAGAAGTCTGTTATGCATTACCTTCTCTCTATTCTTTAATAAATGAGAAATAAAACACAGTGAATTATGGGATTGAGCAGCTGAACCTGTGTTCTGCCAACAGTGCTAAGACCCACTGCAGACAGGGAAAGGGGCTTTGTGGGTGCCTTTGGATACAATCTCTCTTTGCCTGACCTCACCTGTTATCATTTTCCTGGGAGTATTTCTCACCTATCACGTGCCTCAGTACTTCTGACTGGCAACAGGAGTAATTGCAGCTTCTGAGAAACCACTGGGGCAGTCCTTGTTGGCACCTTTTATGTCTGCTGTCAGGCCTTGCACCTTCTTCTTTGCCCACATTTCTCTGCCCTGTGTAACTCCTGTCCTTGCAAGGAGTGAGCTGTTCTCCCATGATAGGCTTCATGGCAGCAGAGGGTGTCTGACTGTCTGTGTTTGAGTGAAGTGGGTTCCTGACCTCTGCAGAGACACTCACTTCCCAATGGAGGTTGAATAGCTCAAAGTTTTTGTGCTCTGTCCAAAAGGATTTTATACCTACAAGACTACCACTGAGAACTTGTATTTGTCGACTATATGGAAGATTGACTTCAAAAGAATTTTAGAAAGTTTTGTAACTAATTGCAGAAAAACTGTCTGAGTGTTCACCCTTGACCAGGACTTAAAAAATAATTTGGAGACTTCCTAGATTTCATCTGATACCCCACAAATACAGAAGCAGAAGGGTGAGCATATATCCAAGACAGCCCAACTGTTTGTAGAGCTGTGTTGGCTTGAAAGAGACGAGCTTGGGACCTCCACAGGACACCCCTCCACCCAATGCACGCAAAAGTCCCAACATCAATACAAGCATCAGGGCACAAACAGCTTTAAGAGGGCAGAAACACCAGAGTCCAGCACTGCTGACAGGGAAAAAGGCCATGCAGCCACAGCCACAAACACCTCAGCTAGATTGATCTACAGGCTGAACTGGAAAGACCGAAGGGGAAGAGGTTGTGCAGGAACAGCAAGCAATGAGATGGCCCACCCCAACCCTCCTGTGAGCATTTGTTTCACAGAACAGCTGTTTTCTATAAAGCTGACTTGAAAATTGGTATCTTCCTCCTTTTGAGAGAATTCATTCACTTTATCTTTTTACTGGCAAAACTACTGTTGTTTCTTTACATTCTTCCCAGCCCTGCCGAGCCACCTCAGCACTCAGGAGGTGAACCAGAGTCTATTTTGGCATAAAGCAGAAACGACACAGCGTGATCTCAGATCCCAGGGTGGATTTTCAGTGCTGGCAGTCAAGAAAGTCAAGGTTTTATTTGTAAATTAAAAGAGGGGTCAACAGGAAAGTCATTGGAGAAAAAAAAAAGAAAAAACCAATATGAAACCCTACCATGCCATTTATAGTCTCTTTACAGATGAGAACATAGTTTGTGGAATGTAATTTGAGTTATAAATAATATTATTGTTTGTTTCAGCCAAAAAGCTGTAGCTTGTTCAATTAAGAGAATGGATGTGTTTGTGTTGTGTTACTCATTTCTTCATTGTAAAATACATCTGTAATGATAATCTATGGAAATTTTCTTGCAGTGGCAAGGAAAATGGTAATAAAAGAACTTACACAGACTTCTTCCAGTAAGTAAAATACCTGAGGATTATTTGATCTCTTTGTTCCCTTAAATCAAATAGCTGCAAACAAACAAACAAGAAGCCAACCCTATGGCCAAAAAAAAGCCAAAAAACCCAAACCTGAAAGAATAAACAAAACAACACAACAAAAACCAAACAAATTTTAAAGAAACATAAATAAGGGAAGAAATGTGAATTGGCAAATTTGATTATGGAGTTCAGTGTTAAAAAGGGACCATTTGTACAAATCTGGGAAAGAAGTTTAGTTATTTTTAGTTGTTTTCTAAATCTGTTTAGCTCTCAGGGTGTCCCATTCCCTTGGGTGGTGTGAGGAGCAGCAGTGAGCCACATATTATGTCAATCCTTAAAGCTGGCTTATTTCAAGCACCATGGATGAGGAATTACTATATGATGTCAAATAGAAACGTTCACTGCAAAAGAGAAAGAAACATTCTTTTGGAAATATTTCAGTTGAAAGCACTATGCAAAAACACAGTTACAGCAAGTAATAAGTCATGCTGTCCAGAAATCTGAGATGGAAATAGCAATAGCAAAAGATTTATGGTACTTCTCTGAGCCATGCAGTGCTGACTTTTCATTTTTACAAAGCTGATGATTTTTCTTCCCATTAAAAAAACTAAGAAATTCAGTTTTAAGAAAAATTAAACATAAAGCACTATAAAATAATAATTTTAACACCAGGTTGCAATATGTGAAATAGATTACTTCCATCAGGAATGAGGCAGGTGGGAGAAAAGTCAAGATGAAATGCATTTTTGTGAGGGAAGGATAATGAGGGAAGGGGATGTGATTTTGCTTTTAATGAACGAGTTCACCCAGTGAATATCTACAGCAACAGAAAGTCATGAACCATTTCCACAGCTCCATAAGTGGCTGTTGTTTTGTTCAGTGTAAAGGTAGAGTGTGGGAGACAGACAGGGCTCTCCCTAGTAGATCCAGAGACCAAAGACCAGGCTCTGGTCTGTCCTGGTGCCAAAGGCCATTTTCAATAAATAGAAATAGTTATAAATAGAAACTCTGTTGAATGCAGGGTCTCAAAGGCAGCTGAATGTGATGCTGGCCACATCACATGGGTGACTGTCACCAGTTTCAGAAAATGGTACACATTGGTCATGTTTGGAGAGCCATGTAGGCAGATATTTCTCATTTTGATGCAGTTTGTGAGGGCTTTTAGTGATCTGGATTTACAATAGCAAGTGCAAGTGTGGTTAAATCCTTGTGATAGTTAATCACAAGGGTCTCAAGCTAATATAAGAAACTCAATGCCATGGTCACTAGGCTATTTCCATCAGTTAAACTGAAGTAAGAGTGCAAACCTGCATCATGAGAAGTAATCTAGAATGTGATTGTTTCCTATGTTTTGACCATATTATTATTAGCATTTCAGTCATCTGAGGACCACAACCAAGAGCTCCCCATTTCAGGAGCTCATAAACTTGTATCTTGAATCAATCAGCCAGGCAAAAAAAACAAACAAAAAACCAACCACAAACAAGCAAAAAAAAAAAAAAAACCTAGGAGGACTACAGACATAAAGAAGCCAAGGAAGAGCTCAAATACTCTGTGACAATCTCTGCCAGCACAGAGTCACAATTAACATTATCCCTAAGCTGAGCAAAGGGACAGTCAAAACTAAGCACGGTGAGCAGCTTAAAAGGGAGTTTTGAATGATGGCAAAGGTGGAAATTGTCAGGCAGCTTCTCAGGCAGGCATTTTGTATCACCCATGCTGGCTGAACCACCCTTTCTCACCTCAGCAGCTGCAGGTTTTGCACCACTAGGTAGCCATGGTGAAGGAATAAAAACCAGAGATTAAATACAGCTCCTTGCACAGCTCGTCTGGGAGGAGGCCAGCAGTCCTGATGAGTGTGTAACCAAACAGTTCTCCCAGGCTCTGGGGCAGTCAGCCTCAGCTCCCACCAGAATCAAGGCACCATCCCAGGAAACACAGAGCCAGGGCAGGAGCTCCACCAAGAAATACTTGGAACCCAGCTCATGGGAAAGGTGAGCCCTTGAACCCCATCATAACCAGGGTTACCTGGGACCAGGGCATGTCCCCAGTGCACAGAAACACCAAGGACCAGCCATTCAGTCACTGTACATCACCCCTTGCCCCAAGTGTAAATAACCCTCTGTGAAAAAATACAGCAAACCAATGGAGAAGTGGTGTTGAAGTGAAAATAAGTTGCATGTAAGGGGATGCATTTTATCAGTAGAATTTTTAAACAAATGTTTTAACATCTTCAATGAACAAACTTGTTCGTTTGTAAGAATAAAAAAACCTTTTCTTTCTGATAAAATGTAGATATGCAGATTGGCAATGAGGTTGTTGGGCCTAATAAAAATCTTTGAGGTTTTAATTAAACCTCTGCTACCAAAAATATTCAAAATTTATTTAGGATTCCTGCATTTCTGTACCACAGAGACAAAACCTTGAACAGTGATGAAAGAATGTATGGAGACAACTACACGTGTCAGTCCAGAATACTTGCTGTCTTCTTTATCAGTCATCTCAGGCAGTGTGAGAAGTGAAGATTTCCTCTACAAGTGAAATCTGGGAAGAGACAATAGATTAATATCAAGAAAAAATCCAAAGCAATATGATCACTTAGTTCTCCTTGCAGGAGTAAATTCTGCAAAACAAGAAAAGCCAACCTGAATAAAGATAAATTGAAGAGACATACATCCACTGATAAAATTCAAGATGCAGAGGGATAATGAAGAGGAAACAATAAAGTGTCTAAAAGTGGGAAAAAATACTGTTTAGAAGAAAACCTACTTTCAACTTTATTCACAAAATTCTGCTGAATACCTTATGGTGAACATCAGCATTATTGCAAGATCTCAGAACATCAGCAGGAGGTGGTTCAAATCAGACAAGCGAGTTTCCTGGATTCCTAAGGAGTGTAAGGATTCACAGCAATATTTACAAGGAGCTCAATAGTGTGTTTGTCACTATTTTTGCTATAGTGAATTGGGGAGTTATCTAAACTTAGATTCTGAGCCAAAAGTTGTAACACAATGAAAATGCCATGCAGTAATGCATTAACTTAGAGAGCATCAAGTTGTGCTGCTTTTTTGTTATACTGTATAGCAAAGTGTTTTTGAAACACAATTTGGAATTGATAGATGTTTACCTCATATTCATGTGTATTTCTTCAGAAACATTTGCCGTATCTTAGAAGCAGCATATCTGCAATGTGATGCAGGGGTTGCCATGGTGAGTTCACATCTCTTATTTAATCCTGTACCTGAGTAAATACACATTGCAACAACCTCTGTTAAAGGTGCTATTAGTAAAGTTATGTCAGCATTTCCACGAAAAATACTTGTTTTCCTGTTATGACTTGGCCAAAAAACAAAGAAGCTATTCCTAAATGAAATCACAGAAGCCCTTTGTACTCTTCCAGTGTATTTTTAGCACAGCATCAATACCTTTCTGAAGTCTTCAGTCATAAAAATCAAATTTAAAAAAATCAATACATTTTTTCTATTCTTTAGTAGTTAGTAATTTTGATAACAGTTATGGGATTTCTCATTTAAAAAAATCTTTAGGAAATTTGGGGGTTAGTTTCATT